CGGGTTTAAGTATTGAAAACGTCATAGATGTTGTGGTCTCAATGGATAACTGTTTGAGCTTTTCCTCCGTGGCGTTACATGCAAAAAAACCGCCACGGTTTCTTTGGACTACTAGGTGTCACGTCGCAACCATAACCGTGTTGGAGTGGTTCTTAAATAGAGCTTAACTTCAGCAAAGCTCTTTACTGGTAACTTGAAAACTCATCACTGAAATCTTCTGGGGTTCCATCTTTCAAACGTTTTGGCATAGAATTTACACAGTCAAGCCTTAACAATCGCCGTGTTTCATTGTCAGCGTCTCTTTTATCAGTTTCTATCGTAGCACCAATGCTGTTCGCAGCAGATGGTTCTAACAAACAATGAGAAATCATTCGCGCATCACATTGGTAAAGTTATCCAACCATTTGAGTTTTTTCGCTGATTTGAAGTTCCCTTCTGTTGGCAACTTTTCAAGCTGACCGTTCTTTTCAAAATCCCCTGGACTTGCATTTTCGCCTCGGCGGGACGTAATGCAATCCCGTACGTAGGAGATATTAAGTTACCCTCAAAGAAAATCCGTATAATTGCTGGTCCCATTACGATTTAAGACCACTTGAGATTTTAATTTCCATCGTGTGAGAGTTGAAATGGTTCTATCAACTGAACCATGCAGTGTTTCCGTCAATGAGACTGAACATTAAAAGTGCATTAGCAATCGACGTCACTAGCAATTGTTTCCTGATGGTCGTGTTCGCTCCAACAATAATCAGCGATGTGTTTGTTATCGGATCTTACCATAGTATTGATCTATCAACAAAATACGGTTGAGATACCACTTTACCGATAGCCCACTTGTGACCCAGAAATGTGCCTACATTAATCACGCATCTCTCGCGTTTACTGATCACGATGATAATAGAATCCTCTATTCATATTATGTAACTTTATTACCCTGGAAAAGACAGAAATCATTTGACATGACTCACACAGCTTGGTAGTAGCATATTTTCCCTAGTTGATTACGGAATCCGTGGGTTGCTACGTTCACGTATTTGATGTTCTGGATCTTGACCGTGTCCCTTGGGCAACTGGATTTATTTCTCCTTGTTGTCAAACCGATCGATTTGTTTGCAGCGTGTTCGATCAACAACAATGCATTTAACAAATCAATAAAGCTGGTGATACGGGCCTGTCTATTTGATTTTCTCAGTTTGATGAACAAACGAAAAGGAATATTGTCAACTTAACTAAACTTTACCTGTATGTTAGAAAAACTAAATTCAATTGGGCACTTTTATCTGCTTGATCTAAAGATAGACTTTTATTGCAAATATTCATATTACGGCAGCATTTTTAACCCCACCGACAAGTAACCTTTGGCATTTTTTAGGCTTTAGTTTCCCTTTTCGTGCCCGTCCAGATACCACCAACGCTTTAGGTGCGTCCATTTTGGCCATTTTGGTGCCTTCTATTTTGTTCAGAATGTGATTGAAAAAGAATCCAGGGTATCAGCCAAACAGGAATAGCCGCCTCCCACGCTTTGCCAAACATGTCGAATTGTTATTACTACTATCACCACTACTACTAGTAGTAGTCGTCATTGTAGATAGAATTCGTAGTAGTAAAAATAGACACAAACGTAGCCGTTCGTAGTCGATTGGGTATGGAAGCGATTAAACCATTTTCTGTGTTCATGTTCTACCTTAAGAAATTGACGGTGATGTAAAATCGTTACTGGCCTTGGCCGGTCAGGTCACGTATGCATTCTTTGTGTGATCGTAAATGATGGCATTGAACAGCATACTTGCACTAATAGAGGACCTGAATTGTGCCTTCTTCGGAATTCAGTTCAATATGTTCTGCCACCCCATCCACCTTCCTGCGATCCACAATCCGACCTATCTCCAGGAGGCGGTTGACACAGTATTGATGCAGTTCGACAAAGTTGTTGTTCTGTGGTCACATTCATTACCTCGAGAATAACATTTGACTAGTTTTGGTTTAGCATGTTGTTGTTGTTGTTGTTGTTGCTCTTTGTTATTGTCGTTTTCGTTCCTCTAGAATGACCAAAATAGCTCATGCATCACATGTGATTTGATCAGACTGAGAAAGAAAGAAAGAAATGGGGAATTTTCATGATGGGTCAATACACACACACAAACGCACACACATTTCGTCCATTGATTGTTTATGACCATTCTAAGGAGCCTTGGAGAATGTTATCATCATTCGACAGGAAACTGATCACGTATGTGACACGCAACAAATGGTCGATCCTGTATGTGTGTTCAGTTTTCTTCAACATCATCCACTGAAAATGTTTTACTGTGGATCAGAGAAAGCAAATGTGAAACGGTTTACTGGTATTGGATAAGTTGTCCCAACTACTGAGCGGATTACCCAAATCACGTGGACTCTCTGACTTCAGTTCCGAGCAGACAATCGAAAACACAGTTGTCAATCGGGAGATCCTGAGTGAAATTTTAAATTATGCAGGGTAGTGGGGTGAATATTTATCCGAAAGTATCCCGATTTATTGCGCTCCAAGCAATGCTTTTCTTTTATCAGCTCATTGCTAATAGTACACCAATTGGTGCCAGCAAATTCAGGAGAGCAAAACAGTTGATTTAAGCTTGTTATCTCTAAGTGGACTATAATTTATCATCGTTGCGTGTTTCACCTTTATCCATGTCTAAGTTTGAACTATGGCCACCAATAAGTTTTTTGGTCACCTTGTGGATCAATATGCTTACACAACCGAATCCAAGTTGCTTCGTCAATATGGTGATGAATGACCGCTGGGATGCACCACAGTGGTACAAAGTCATATGGTTCACTCATGAAGCCCGAAAAATCCAAGCCCGGGCAGTAAGATTGGCGGACCAGCCAAGGTTCTGCTAGAATAATCTCAATGTTCAACCGGGCTACAGTATAGTAGACTGGACCCAAAATTGGGTAGTGATAACTGGGTTCAAATTACAGCGTTTACAACCCTGAGACCGTTGGTAACTGCAGATTTAATTGTCTGATTATTACTAATAAAAGCACCACCACAATAACTGATTATGAAAAATATACACCTCATATGTTTCTCTTGCTCGAGCGCACAAAACAAATTATTTAAATAAATGGTATGTAACTTATGTCATCGTTGTGTAGCGTCCAAGTGCTAATCAGTTTGGAATAACTCTCGAACAGAAAATTGGCAAATTAGCGGAGTATACCGCACCGGTGTTTTTCTGATGTATTCACGAGGATACTTTGACACAGCTTACTGAGGAAATAAACAAGTCACAAAGATCAAAATCATATTTTGTGGTATTCGGCTTTCTCTCCATTCGATCAATGTACTTCTGAGTTGCAATAAAAGCCGTAGGCAATACACTGTTCTTTTCCACTTTGGATGAAACTGCACTACTTTTCTGGGTACTTTGCTCTTGAAAATCGGATCCGTCAATCAAACGTTAACCTTATTCAAATGATGCCTGACTCCAAATTGATGTGATAAAATAGCCGTCATTTGCTGAAGTACCAGCGCTTTTTTATCAACATATTGCATTGATTGTTTTCGCTCCCTATATTTTGTACCAAACTCTCACCTTGTTTCTCTGATCCGTAGTATATATATATATATATATATATATATATATATATATAATATGAAACCATTTATACAGGACTAGCAAATGTGCCACAACATATGAAAACTGTCTATGGAATGTGTCTATATGTTTTTTGGGCATGTTACTTCTCGGTTAACCTGACCGAGGAAGGAGGATAATCTCGGGGTCTCCATTGGAAGTCTTTGGCTAGAAAACCTGACCTGCAAAACAACAGGATGGAGCTTAGAGTTCACAGCCCATGGGGGTGGGTGTCCAGTTCATCAGACGGAGTGCCCAACACATCTTGATACCCAATAGTGTCGGTGACTACTACTCCAACCCGGAAGGTGTGTGTATAGTTCGTACTTCTCTTCTTGGTTGATTTGGATTCAGGGTCTCTAGCCAACTCCCCTAAGTTAATTGCCAATGGTTCACCAACCCGTCTTCTCATTTTGGTGGGTAAACACCTCCGCTACGAGAAGGCAGTAAGCAGAGCTTCCTCAGCAGATGCTATTTGAGACGCTTGGTCATATAGGATCATTTTGCGAGGTTAAAGCGAATGGTGACACTCACCCCTACCATATTGAGGCTTTTGAATTAAAAATACCAGAATGGAATAATCATCTCATAGTGTGTTTATCGTGACCATGCCCCAATCAAACTGGACGGATATACGGTCCAGTTGCTGCCCATTTTTATCATTCAGCGCTGATACTTAGGTAGCGCTGACATAACAGCACGGGGCATTTCGATGTTGATTAAGCTGACTTTGGACAACAGTAAAAGCACAAAAAGATTGATGTGGGGGAGGGGTTTTATGCTTTATGTTTTCTTCATAATTCTGTGTGGCTTGAAAGAGACCATAAACAACACGAATTTGTCGAAGAATGTATAACATGTTTCTTTTACCTGGACGCAGATATTCCTGGATTGATAACTCTCTTTCCCTCTTTCTCATATGTCTAACGTGAATGTGATTTACCTGTGCACTGACAGTTCCAGTCCGTCGTTTGCATTTGGTATGATTACGCGAATACAAATCGAGTCAACCGATAACTATCATCCATGCGATGTATTTGGCAACAGTAACCAGAGCAATAATAGGAATTTAGTCTTATGAAGAACAATCGCTGCTTGCTCTAGTCAAACTTTAATGAAATGTCTGAATACCTGGTGAAGATTAGTTAACTTTTTCATTCAATCATCCATCCGTTGATAAATACATACATCCATCCGTCTGTCCATCATCGCCAAACGTTTCCAGTTTGTTCACGAGTATACTACTTCTTTAGTGGTTGCTGTTTTTTCTTTTATTTATACACCCCTACTGCCGCTTTGTATCCACAGTCGTGCGAGAGTCTACAATCAGACTTGACCTCAGTCGGTACGGTTTTACAAACCTGGCCCCTCTCGCTTCAGAGCGTGGTGAAACCAACAGATTCGGATACGGAAGTGGAAAAAGCCACGCTAAACGGATGGAATGCGAATCGGGAAATAGTACATGCACAAACAGACGAAGACAGTGTGACCGAACACACACAGACAAGGTGCGTGAATGGGAACCATCCCTTCAATTTGTTTCTCTGCTGAGATTAACGCTTCATGATGTGTATAATCGGTTGGTTAATCTTACACCAACAAAACAGGTAGCTGTTTATATTGTGCATTGCAAAAAGTCAGATGTTATCGGTGTCCCTTCAAATCGTACTGAGTCTGAGGTATGTGTATCGTCTTGTGTGAGTTTTTATTATCTATAATGAAACGAAAAGGAAATTGAAGGATTAAGCACCTTTGCTAACAACGTTTTAAAGCGACATCCTGTTTTAAACCAATCATTTCACTTTCCTTAAGCTGATTGCAGGTTAAGAAGGGGATTCTGAATTCCTGGTTGCTCTATGCTTATACTCAGGTATTTACATTGACAACGTCGAACTTAGGGGTTCTAGGATATGCTTTTACATGCTGCTTCCTTCCGGTTGAACTCTTCGAAGGATTGTCTGTTTCAAGTTATACAACAAAAGCATGAGAGTTCACAATCAAATATTCATATATACATACATACATACATACATACATACATACATACATACATACATACATACATACATATATACATACATACATTATACTTCCCGAATTCATTTATGACAAATGAGATGAATGTAATACGTGATGATCAAGTCAAGCAATCTTCCTTTTCCGTCTATAAATGGAACATCGAATTCTCGGGCAGATATAGTTCTCCGACCCAAATCATGCTGTGTTGACACTTGTCTGGGTCCTAATGCACATAGAATTTAGTTCTTTCGAAAAATCTGTCTACTCTCTATTTCCACTCTCTTAATTCGCGCTCCAAAAGCGGTATTTGATGATTTCTATCTCGCTTGTGTTCCGTTAATGATGAACTTCCAAACTTCCTAATCGGTATCATCATCATTTCCACTTTCTCTTTCTTTGGAATAAAATTTCTATTCTCCTTCAATCGAGGATCACTGACTGATAAGGGCATTTATTCCGATCCAGCTAGTTAAATGAGGAGAGGGGACATAACTGTTTTTGTGGGTTGTAATCTTGGACCGACGAATAAAGTGAATCAATCAATCAGATCAATTGAAGTAATAGTTTTATGCTTCTCGTTAGGTGAATGTAACACTTATTCATTGGTCTTAGTGAATGGAAAGGAAACGGAAAGGGGGACGGAGGAACGTCACGCTGTGTGACAGCATGAATTAGAATTAGAATTATTAGATAGAAAGACGGAGAAAGAAGGATGGTTTGACTGAACTCGGATTCTCTGTTCTCTTGACGGATCGTGTACGTTTTTATGGCACCGCGATTAGCGTGAAGCTGTTGAGTCTGTATAACTTTCTTTCATTAGACTTTCATACTTTTTGTTCCGTTAATTTTCGTGGATACATCAGAGAAAAATTATCCATGATTTTGGGCTGCAAATGTATTTGGTCTTTCATTACAGAACAGTAGCAAAGAAAATATCAATTTAATCGTATTACAATTGAACTTGATTTGTAAGGAATTTAAGGTGCTTCATTGCCTTTGGAGACTTCATTTTTTACTCTCCAAAAACACGAAATGGTTGCCACCATCTTCACGCAGTGTCCAAACTGATACCCTTGACTGACTGGTTGATTAGTATTTCCTATGGGTGGCCAACCAAATCTAGTGAAAGCGTAGAAAATTTGATTTTTGTGTGTAAAATGAATACTATTTGCGAAGCTTTTTTTTCATTCATAAACACACGCGATAAATTGATGTCCTTAAGAGTGACTGATAAACTGACTGTTGTACTCGGTACCAGAAACCGATCACTTTTATATTGAAAAACAGGTTCAAAGTCTCCATGGTACACAAATGAGGGATTTGACAAAGCGCATCAACTGAGGACAGTAGAAGATGAAAGACCTATAGGAATGTCTTTTTATTACACACAGTAGCACTAGGTGAACCTCACAGTCACGAGGATCAACTGCTTGGTTATGCAAACCGGTCTTATTAACTCCGGGATTTGAATGGAAGAATTACATGTGACTCGAACAGTCTAAATCTGGGTTGACCACAGGAAAGTAACTGGTGGCCATGATTGTTCTCATGAGAACTCGTCGACTTTCTTTATCGTGAAAACATTTCGTCGCTACGAGTTTGAAACTTTTGCTCTCGCCAAGAGATCCATGGTTAGTTCACACTTGGGTTTTGGAAAAAAGATGTATTATGTCTATTGGTTCCAATGTTTATATCGGATTTTCATAAAAAGGAACGAAACGTTAATTTATTGCAAAATGTTCAAATTGTGCTTAATTAGCTTAACCCTTATTTGTCCCTTAAAATGCATCTGGTTAGAACTTTGTGATTTCTATGAAAAACATCTTTAAGTTAGGTCGATTTTCTAATATGATTTGGAGTCCGCAAACCATTTCTGGTTCGGTCATCTCCAAAGTGTATTTCTTCCCTGCCCGCAGTCAACCATCATTCACGAAGGAGTTTGTGTGATACCAGCCAGGATAATCGCATGATTCCACTCTCGTCCAGTTGTAGGTTTACCCACTGAGACTTTCAGGTTTTGTATGCATTCATTATTATTACCATTTTGACCCAATCAAATATACATTCATACATATACGAAGGATGAAGTGGTTTTCCACCTTGCCACATGTGGGGACGAATCACTCATTTGCATGTAATTTCTCCGATGGCACGCTTATCCCACAAACTTTTACATGGAAAGTACTAAATTCACAATACGCAGTCGGTCATACCTCAAGGGCAAGATAAATGCATTTCTCGACCATGGAGACAAACACACATCCGTGTCGAAAATGGGACGGAACTGTATGAAACAAATTTGTCTCTCGCTGTGCTTACACAACACGCACGAAGATCTTCTCCAGTTAACCGAATTCACATGTATGTTCGTTTGGCAACAGGCCTACACAAAGACACATAACTACAGACCGCGCCACATGTACCTCAATGTCTTCAGGCACATGCACGCACACACACAAATATGGAGTTTTAGCATCGCTGATCCCCACAGACAGGAGTATAACCATTTGAATCGTTGGATCAGCTAAAGGTAAGTTCGATGTGTCCACATGATGTGTGCCGCGGTTGTACCTATGCCGTCTACCCGTACAAATGTGCATCGGTGGCAACCCCAGATTTTCAGCTACCCCTGGGTTTGTTCTTGATCCCACCTGAACCGCAGTTAGTGAGTTGCTGATGCGATTGCTGCTGTGTGTCGCACACATCGTAGCACGTGCAAACACGCTTACACGCGCGCAGTCTACTGCAAGAACGTTCAATTTCTTTCTAGATTCCTTGTGCAGCCCCCGAATGCAGGCACCGAATCCAGACTGAACAACAAGCAATACAGACCGTGTGTATCGATCCTTCAATTAATCTGTTAATTCCACACTCATAGACCAAGACGCGGAGAACAAGAGAGTGAATAGGGGGACATGGGCATGCACAACCGTGAGAGGATCCCCGATCCCAAACGAGGGTTTTCCCGATAGAAGATGACCGATTTTCTTTGGATGCCAATGAACTTTAAAAAT